TTGAGGCCAAGGTAGCCCTCAGGCGGGCCATCAGGGTGGCAAAGGGCAGGGCGTGGACGGAGTTCCTCGACTCCCTTCAGGAGGATCCGTGGGGGCGCCCATACAAAATGGTTCTCAACAAGTTGAGAGACCATGGGCGCCCCCGCTAACGGAGCGGCTGGACGTAGGATTCGTCCGAAGGGTGGTGCAAGCCCTCTTCCCCGGCATTACCGGGGAGGTTGAGGGCCCACCCTTCGAGTCGGGGGAAGACTCCCCCGACTGGGACGACTCCCTAGACGTCCAGCCGGAGGAACTCCGGAAGGCCGTCAGGAACGGCCTTAAGGGCAACACAGCCCCGGGTCCTGACGGCCTCCACAAGCGTGTCCACGCCCTGACCATGGGCGTCCTCGCGGAGGAGTACGCACGCACATACAGTGCGTGCCTAAGGAGAGGTGTCTTCCCCCCGCGGTGGAGGAGTGCCACGCTGGTACTCCTCCCGAAGGAGGGGAAAGACGCCTCTCTCCCGTCGGCGTATAGGCCAATATGCCTTCTGGACGAGGTCGGTAAGTTGTTTGAGCGAGTGCTCGTAAACCGCCTCGTCCAGCACCTGTCCCAAACGGGCCCCGACATAAGCGGGGCCCAATATGGGTTCAGGGAGAGCCTGTCCACGATGGACGCGATCAAGCGTGTCCAGGCCCTCTCTGAAGAGGCGACGTCCCAGGGGGGGTGATGTTGGCAGTATCATTAGATATTTCCAACGCCTTCAACACCCTCCCATGGGGACGAATCAGGGAGTCGCTCCGACGCCGCGAGGTTCCGTCATATCTCGCCCGCGTCGTGAGCGACTACCTGAGGAACAGGTGGGTCGAGTATATCGACCAAGGCGGCAGGCGCCGACGGGAGAGATTGCACCGGGGAGTGCCCCAGGGATCGGTTCTCGGACCGTTCTTGTGGAACCTGGGGTACGACTCGGTGCTGCGTGTTCCCCTCCCCCCCCGACTGTCACGTCGTCTGCTACGCGGACGACACGCTCGTGACAGCCGGGGGCCGCGATTGGGGGAGGCCCTCGCCAGGGGGCGAGTGGCAGCGGGAGCGATAGTCGACTCTATCCGCAGCCTGGGCCTCGAGGTGGCACTCGGCAAGACCGAGGCCGTGCGTGATGTTCCACGGTAAAAGACGTGGAGCACGCGGCGCGCCGCCCGAGGGACTCACCCTGGCTGTGGGTACAGCCCTCGTCAGGATCGGCCACGAGATGAACTATCTCGGGTTGATCCTTGACGACCGATGGTGCTTTGCGAGCCACCTTGCCAGAGCCGCAAGCAGGGCGCGAGTGAGAGCGGCCAAGCTTGGCCGGCTCCTCCCCAACCTTGGCGGGCCGGACGGCGGGGTGCGTCGGCTGTACGCCAATACGGTTAAGTCCGTGGCGCTCTACGGGGCCCCAGTTTGGGCCCCAAAACTCGCGGCATCGCGGCGCGTGCGTTTCGCCCGATAGCCGCGAGAATCTGTAGGGCGTACCGGACCGTGGCCTACAACGCGGCGGCGGTGATCGCTGGTCTCCCCCCGATGGAGTACGCGGCGGAGGAGCATGTTCCTCGAAAGCCGCGACTCCGAGGGGAGACCCATGAGATGGTCAGCGACTCACCGTGCTCGGCAGAGACTCCGGCACCGGCGACGCACAATCGCCACGTGGCGAGAGGCGCTCTTAGCCTCGGGGAACAACACCCCGGGGCTGCGCTTCGTCGGGGCAATCCGGCCCCTCCTTGACCAGTGGGTCGACAGGGAATGGGGTGGGCTGTCCTTCCAGATGACCCAGGTGATGACGGGGCATGGCTGCTTCGGACATTTCCTTGGATCGGAAGGGAGCAAGACTTCCGCTGCCACAATTGCAGCGCGGCGGACGACACCGCCCAACACATGTTGGGCGAGTGTCCGGCGTGGGCGGACGAGCGGGAGGCGCTCGTCCGCGTGGTAGGACAGGACCTCTCCCTTCCAGCGGTGATTACCGCAATATTGGAAGAGGAGAGGTCCTGGCACGCGTTTGCCTCCTTCTGCGAGAAAGTTATCTCGCAGAAGGAGGCAGCGGAGCGGGAGAGGAGGGGCCAAATACCCCTCCCCCGCCCGCCACAGCAGCGGCGCACAGTGGTCTGAAATTCGAAAAACGGCGCAAAAACCTTATTTTTCAAATTCCTTTATTCGAGATATATTTGACTTTAAAAAAAAGGATAAAATCATAGTTTATTCTATTTACAACGTATTTACAACGTCAAGTCTCTGCGGTGACTGATGTTCCAATCATATTTAAATGTGTCACATGGTATCGGAACTAAGTACTAATAAGTTTTTTACAGCGGTTGGCAATTCTTTACTTTTCTTTGTCGATTGCATTTGAGCAGATATAAAAGGATCAGAAGAGAGCAGTAAACGTCGCAACAAGTCCTTATTTGTGTCGAGATTCTGTAATGGAGATTTCGGTCAATATTTTGATATGTTAGTTTGAAAAATTAAAACTGTTGTAAGCAAAGTATAAAATATTTAAACTGAAAATGTATTTAAGATTTACGTATAAAATAATACTAGGCACCTGCTTCGACCGTAGTAGATGCTTCTTTACTTATTTGTGTGATTAAAATATTTAAATTTACCTCGAAATTTTTCGCGTATGATACTCTCGGTAGTTTCGAAGATCTTTATTGCGGGACTCTTGTGCTTCCTCTGAGAGTTGTCCTATTGGTAGTAAAGATGATGTCAGAACCTACGATGAGTTTATGCACTGAGCTGGACATATTGTACCAGCCATATAACTGTACGTACAATTATATATAAGCTCCAACGACCGAATATATTTTGTTACTCTATCTTTTTTGCATCTCTACAAAAATATCTTCACTACAAAACTATCTTCTCTACAAAAGTAATGATATCATTAAATGGCGCCAACTAAACTAAATAGTTTTAAACGTGGTGGGGCGATGATTGGAGTGGGGGCATGCCCGCCGGCTGGGCGCCCGCGGACGCCCGTTACCCGTTGGAGTGGGGGCATGCCCGCCGACTGGGCGCCCGCGGACGCCCGTTGCCCGTTGGAGTGGGGGCATGCCCGCCGGCTGGGCGCCCGCGGACGCCCGTTGCACGCGGTTTAGACAATTTAATACAAATAAATATTTTATTTTAAAGTACAAAAACTTGGCGCTGCTCAACCGAATTTTAAGAGGTAATTA